ACTCCTACCATTTACTAGCCCATGGCCTTTCGCAATGTGGGGCTTGGACATAGTAGGACCACTTCCAACAGCACCCGGCAACAGGAAGTTCTTTCTCGCAGCAATAGACTACTTCACAAAATGGGTGGAAGCAGAAGCATTGGCATCAATTAAGGAAAGAGATGTAAAAAAGTTCGTTTGGCAGAATATCATCACTCGGTTTGGCATATCAAAAGCCCTAATCTCAGACAATGGTACTCAGTTCAACGGCAGAATCTTCAGAGGCTTTTGTGAAGAGTACAAGATAGAGTTCTACAATACTACACCGGCATATCCTCAAGCAAATGGCCAAGCAGAAGCATCAAATAGAGTCGTCTTGGATGGACTGAAGAAAAGGTTAGAAAAAGCAGAAGGCAAGTGGGCAGATAAACTTCCTCATGTTTTATGGGCTTACCGCACCACACCTCGGCGATCAACAGGAGAAACACTATTCTAAAAGGTTAGAGAAGGCAAAAGGCAAGTGGGCGGACGAACTTCCTCATGTTTTATGGGCTTACCGCACCACACCTCGGCGATCAACAAGAGAAACACCATTCTCCTTAGCCTACGGGAAGGAAGCAGTAATACCACTGGAAGTTGGCCTCCCCACAATTCGAAGCGAAAATTTTGATCCAGACTTGAATGGAGAAGCCATAGCATTGGAACTCGACCTTGCGGAAGAAAGAAGAGAAAGAGCATTGGTTCACATTGCCTCATACCAACAAGAGCTGATCAGAAAATACAACAAAACGGTGCATCCAAGACAATTCAAGATCGGAGATTGGGTACTGCGCAAAGTGATGGGAAACACCTTGATACCAGGAGATGGCAAGTTAGGGCCAAACTGGGAAGGTCCTTACAAAGTGGTTGGGTTAGCAGGCAAAGGGGCATACCACCTAGAAGACAAGGATGGCAAAGCAATCCCTAGGCCATGGAACACGGCCAATCTCAAGTTATTTTTTTTTTAGCTTTTTTCCTTTCAAACATGTGTAATTTCTTTTTTTTCAATAAAACAATCGATTCTTTTCAGCATGAGTTGTTCTCTGTAAAAGTTAGCTTTAGTGAAGTTAGGAATGTTGCGAACATTTTTTAGCTGGAAAAACTAACTTAGAGGTTGGCTGGAATAAACCAACACCCTTCCTAAGCCCAAGATAAGGATCCAGGCTGCAGGACGTTTGGTCGGAATAACCAGACATTACTATAAGTTAGCTGGAAAAACTAACTTAGAGGTTGGTGGGATTAAACCAACTTTGTACTCTTCAGCCGAAGTATGGGTATGGCTGAAGTATGGTTGGCTGGATTAAACCAACACCCTTCCTAAGCCCAGGATAAGGATCCAGGCTGCAGGACGTTTGGTCGGAATAACCAAACATTATTCTAAGTTGGCTGGAATAAACCAAGTCTTTTGTACTCTTTAGCCGAAGTATGGGTATGGCTGAAGTATGGTTGGCTGGATTAAACCAACTCTTTGTACTCCTCACCGAAGTATGGGTATGGCTGAAGAGTGGTTGGCTGGATTAAACCAACACCCTTCCTAAGCCCAAGATAAGGATCCAGGCTGCAGAACGTTTGGTCGGAATAACCAAACATTATTCTAAGTTGGCTGGAATAAACCAAGTCTTTTGTACTCTTCAGCCGAAGTAAGGGCATGGCTGAAGAGTGGTTAGCTGGATTAAACCAACTCTTTATACTCTTCAGCCGAAGTAAGGGCATGGCTGAAGAGTGGTGGGCTGGATTAAACAACTTTGTGTACTCCTCAGCTGAAGTAATTATGTCGGCTAAGGAGTGGTTGGCTGGTAAGCATATTTAGTTTAAGCAAGCAAAAACCGAGATAACAGTTGAAAGCACAAAGATCGTGGAAAAATCATAACAAGTACCAAAACGTACACATCAACCGAAGTAAGAGTTAATGAAAATTTTCATTCATCCGGAAGCAAGTACAAAGGAGGGGCCGTAGCTCGGTTACAAAAGTAAAAAAGGTAGCAAAAAAAGAAAATGTACAAAATCAAGAGAAAAGATCTTCAATTTCGGCATCAAAGGCAGCATCGGCATCAACATGAAGACCGGTTTCAGGCGGGAGCTCGTTCTCGGTCACAAGGGTGGTTTCAGTCGGAACCACGGTTTCACCTGGTTGTTCAATAGTTAGGTCTTCCACCGTGGGCTCCGGCCGAACTGACGGGTCCGCATTGACAATCGGAGTATCCTCAGAGGCAGAGTCTTCGTCAGAGTCTGAGCCTTCGAGAAATTTCTGCTGAATGGCATCAGCATACTCCACTAGGGAGTTCGGTATGAAGTAGGCTGGAGGGTTGAAAACCTCGGTCTGTGGATCGTGGCCAAGCTTCTCAACGGCTGCCCTCCAGCCGTACTTAAAGAAAATTTCCTTGGCGGCTTCACACTACTTGACATATGCATCCTCTGCCTTCTTGAAGCCTTTCTTTTCGGCTCATTTTGCGCTTTCCTTCAGCTGGGTTATCTCAGTATCTTTCTTCTTTTCAAGCTTCACCAGCTCGCACAAATACTTGTCTTTTAGCACAATGGCGGCCTTTTGCTTTTCTGCCTCGGCCGAACTAACCAATCCGGCCAGTCGGCCGTTCTCAGCTCGTAGCTCGGCCATTTGCTTTCCGGTCTCCTCTAGCTCGGTCGCCTTCGCTTCAGCTTCTGCCACGGCTTGCCTTGTTGTTTTCCTGAGCTCTACCACCTTCCTGTAAGTGATGCTGTTTTTCTGAATGGCCTGACAAACAAAGACTTCCCTTGAGCCGAAGTGAAAGTTGGACAAACTAGACAGAAAAACGGACAGAGCTACTTACCAAGATCATGGATTTTGTGGAAGACCGGATGGCCTTCAGTTCGGTGTTCAATTGCTTTTGGTGGTGCTCCATATCTTTGGGGAGGCACACACTCTTGGCCAGGTTGAAGGCCAACTGGTGATCCTTCTCAGCAACAACCGAGTCAGAGTCTTGGATATCTCAGTTGTTGAAGGTAAGTTTTGGTACCCAGCTAGTGGTAGTTCGGTCAGAAGGCTCCGGTTGGGGGCTCGGTGGCAGGCTTGGTGGAAGAGCAGTTTCTTCTTCATCAACCAACCTTTGTTCGGTTTCGGCGGTCTGGGCGCGCTTGGTTCGGCGGGATGAGGATGGTTGTTGAATAGGAAGGGCCACCACTGTTTCTTGGGTTTGACTTGCTGGTGGTACTTCGGCCCTGTTGGTTTCGGTCAAGAGAGCCCTTACTCTGTTCTTTTTGGCCATCTCCTCTTCAGCAGTGAGTGGGATTAGTCTGATCTCGGGTAAGGTTGGGTCCGGTTCTGGGGCCTCCTCAAGAAGAAAGTCGGTTACTCTTGCCTTACGACGACCGCTGTATCTGTAGGCCGGCTCGAACTTTAACAGCTTAGCCCAACTACGTTCTGGATACCGTAGTGCGGCGCGCAAAGTCGCAAGGTTTGGGTAGCTGTATAAGGAATGGAGGTGGGCAGAATCTGCGAAAGAAGACAACTGTTAGTCCGGTTGATACATTAAAAAACCGAAATATAAAAAAGCAAGCAAGAAAACCGAAGTAAATTTACCGGGCTCTCATTTTTTTCAATTTATAGGTCGGCCAGGAATCTGGGCTTGATGATCCTCAAAGTTCCCAGACACCCAGAAAAAATCATCGTCATTTGAGTCTTTGTCCGGAGTATATTTTATTATCTTCTCTCGGCGGCAACGTATTCTTAGATAATAGATCCACCCATCTTCTTTTGAACCAATGGAGTATTGGTGGAAGATTTCAGCCAGGCCAGGGTTTAGTCCGGCTTGGCGGTTCAGTTCGGCTATTCCCATGATGATGCGGTATGAATTGGTGGATAGTTGGGTAGGACATAATCTAGTTTGCCTAAGAAACTCACAGATTAAAGGTTGGACTGGAAATCGTAGTCCGGTCTCTATTATGGATAAAAGGGTGAAGGGGACAAAGCCTTCATTACCCCAGGGAATGACGTCTTTTTCGGCAAATATCAGGTGGACGTCATCAGGTATATGGTAGTCTTTTTTGAATTCGGCTAGGCCGCCCGGAGTATTTACTAGGTACCTATACTTCCCCATCTATTGTATAAATTATGAATAAATTAGATCGGTGCAAAGGTTGTGCTCAGTAGCACGGTTGAGCGCACGGAGGAGTGCCTGGGCAACCTAAGTCTGCAAAGTAGAAAACAAAGGGGTTAAGCACAGATCATTGGACCGTGCTACAAATTAAAAGCAAGGTATATGAGTCCTACTCCGGCCTAATGGACTGGTTCTACCTCGGTTCATCAAAAGGTTTGGTAGCTCGGTTTGAGCAGGTTAGACCGGTTCATCGTCTGGGGACAGCTTTTTGAGTTCGGTCTAAAAAACTGAGAAAGCTGGCTTAGCCCCGAAGACTTAATTCGGTTAAGCTATGTGTTTTGATACTTCGGTTGAGCCTCTAGGGGCAGCTTTCTAAGTTTGGTATAAAAACTAAGAAAGCTGGCTTAGCCCCAAAGGCTTAGCTCGGTTGAAGACTGAAGTTCCTAGTTTAATGTATTCCAACTTTGTTCGGTGATCTTATTTCGGCTAGGATGAAACAGAATATTTTTTAAAGCTGCTGTCATCTCTACAAGTTCTAGTTCGGTTACTGTCTAAGGTGATCTACCTATATAGGACAAAGTTCAAACTTCGTTCGGTGAGCTTATCTCGGCTAGAGTGATTCAGGAGTTGGTAACTTACTGAAACTACTGTTATTTCTACGAGTTCTAGTTCGGTTATTGTCTGAATTGATCGACATATATAGCATAAACAGTATCCTAGTTCGGTTGCATCATGATTATGGATCAAAAGCTCGTTTTCTACAGGATGTATCATATGCTCATATGTTCAACTGTTAAAGTTTTTCCATGAAAGTACAGAAGCGAAACAGAAATGGAAGAAAATGTTTTGCAAAAATACAGTAAAACAAAATGCATAGAACAAATACAAAAGCAAAACAGAGGAAGAGAAATGGATTTGCTTACTAGATTGAAGAAGAGGGAACTGGAGATGGAAACAGTAGCGTCAATGAAGAGCACGAGCTTGGTAGTTGAAGAAGTAGAGGCACAGAAAGAGAAGACAAAGAATTGTGTGGATGAATGATTCAAGGACAGAGGGGTTGTTTTGTGTAAATGAATGAACGAAAAAGAAAAAAGCGAGAACTGTTCAAATTTTTCGTAGTACAAGGGCGGCGTGATAGCTGTCCCCAGCCTATCAGAGCCTGCCACGTGTCATTGGAAAGGGAAGCGTTACAGTCACTGTGATTGAAGAGATGTTTTGACCAGACAAGCAGAGCACGGAGTGAAATAAGCTCGGCCGGAAGGCTAAAGAGTTTTTTAGCTCGGCTGGAGAGGCTAAAGAGTTTTTTAGCTCGGCTAGAAAGGCTTAAAAATTTCAGCTCGGCTGATTGACAGGTAATCCCAATCATGCTGTGCAGATGGAATTAAGGGGCAATTGAGAGGGTAATTTTGGTGAAAATTGGGCCGAGCTATGAGATGGTCATAGTAGCCCACAATACAAAGGGCTGAGTAAAAAAGGCCGTAAAAGTTACTCCGGCCCAAAAGAGGTATAGAATTACTCCGGCCCAACATACGTATAAAAGTTACTTTGGTCCGGAAGCAACTTGAAGTTAGACCGGTCTTGGAGTTATACCGGTCACGAATCGTTAGTTCGGTCTAAACCGTACCATGAGTTGCACATGAGAAGCCGAAGTAAAGAGTAGAAGGAACTAGGTCAGCTCATTCTACGGCTTTGCTTAGTCGTTTTTACTTCGGTCGTATTGGAGTTCGGCCATGGTAAAAACCATCTCACTTGGTTTAAGCAGTGAGGGGGGTGTTAAAGGATAAGCATTATCCTATAGGAGTATGAATCCTAGGAGGACTCTGCATGGAGAAATAAGAGTCCTACTAGGATTGTGCCACGCGAAACTTATAAAAGCTCACAAACATCACCTTGGAGGAGGTAACACAACTTTGCTTTCTGAATAAAAAGAACTTTGTCTATTTGTCAAGTTTGCTGACTTAGGCATCGGAGAGGTTTCCGGCACACACCCGCCGGCTAGCTCACGTTTGTGTTTTCAGGTGACAAAGCGACGTCGTACGGAGGAGCACAGACTTAGTCAACAGGATTATACGAGAAGGTGTATTTCTTTCCCGTACACCGATCATGATTTTCCTACCCCCAGAAGGAAAGGTCCTTACAGGTTTTTCAGCTTGAATTAATTGCTCAAATAAGTGAAGAATGACAAAGCCTAAACCAAAGCAATCAAGGGTTTGTGTGTGTGTGTGTGAGAGAGAGAGAGGGGGAGATCGATTGAAGACGTGGTTGATAGATTGAAGACCCGTATGGCTTCAGATTTGTATAACCAACAATGAACTCCAAGTGGTAGTTAAAGCCATATTGCAAATCAATAAACTATGTAATAAGGACAACATAAACAAGTTTTTAGAAAAGAAAATTAACAATTAGGCTTTTAAGCTAAGACAAATATTAGAAATGTATTCCTCCTCTAAACAAAGGGATTTATATAATGTGAGCAAACATAACCAAAAACCATAATAAAATCTACTGTACCAGAATGTTATAGACTACAGTGTGCTACTAAAAAAGCAAACACAGGCCTCAGTTTTTAATTACACTACATGAATACTTCAAAATGTGTGAAAAACTTATCTTCGATATGATGGGATGTGTGCCTACCACACTCTCATTTGAACATATTCCCGAGAGATATCATGTGAGGCAGCAATAGGAGCTGGACCAATAGAAATGTCAGTACTTTCCTTGGAAAACTTTCATTGTATCTTGAGGATTGAAGACTTAGCTCTGTGTTTTCTTCTCTCTTTTTTTGTTATTTTATGGTAAGCATTTATTACCAAAGAAGAAGGAATATACAATAAAGCTCAAGACACATGTCCAAAGGATATACGAGGAAACGACTTGAGAGGCCCACTACCTTTCAAAAATAAGACAACTTAAAACTGAGATTTGTTTGGGATGACCTAAATAAGTGTACTTTTTGTCTTTTTACGAAAAGATGTGCAGAAAAATAGAGAGGTGATGTGATGAAAAAAAGATAAAATGATGGATTATTTTGGTGTTGCCAAACTTGGCCTAAGTTTCATCTTATTTAGTTTCTTCCTTAAATCAAGAGTAACTTAATAAAAGTTTCCATTTGCGATTCATTTTGCGTATGGGTTGTAAGTGCGACAGCTTATGAACTCGTCAATTGGGTGCTGATGGGTGTTTATTTATACAGATATTTATAATATGAGCTCTCTTGTCTAGTTTTGTTGTATATTTTTTGTGGGTGTAGTTTTCTATCGCAAGTGTCAAAATTCCTTTTTCTTTAATTTTGGTCACTAAAAATGAATTGAGCTGGTTGATCTAATCAGAGTTATTCAAAGTTTTTATTTTGCCTTTTCAATTATTTTAATCTTTCTCACTATCCTACTTTTGTTCCTACTATGATTAAAGACATCAATTTAGACAAATTACATGTATGAAACTTATCCTCAAGATCATAATATAATTTTTTTTCCAATAATCTATTAGACTTTCAATACAAACCAGATAAGTACTACTGGTGTTGATGTTGGTGTTGGTGTTGGTGTTGGTGGTGGTGGTGGTGGTTCTATGTGTCATTCATTTGAGCATATAGTCGAGCACATGATGGGCAAAAAGAAATTAGAAATTAATAACATGCTGAAAATCCCATCCATGAATCAATCGCCACATGAAGCCCCAAAAATCAATTAGCAATATTCATGATTTAAATCGAATCAAGGGTTTGTGTAAGTGTGTGTGTGTGTGAGTGTGAGAGAATGTGGAGGAAACAAGGTACACCAATAATTGTAAATCAGATACCATGAATGGTGGGATTTCTTTGTTTCTAGTGTCGTGTGCGTGGCTCAGTTGAAGGCCGTGTAGCCAGCACAAATCGGCTTTACAAACCAAAGCAACAGCTGCGTTACACCATAAGCAGCTGTGTTACACCATCCTTACACTCTTTTTATATAGGTAATAGGTATAAAATTTACACTGTCACGTAAAACTTTTTATCTAATTGGTTAGATTAAATTCATACCAAATATATATATATATAGATGATTGTAAGGAAAAACAAGTTGGATTCCTAGGGTATTATCAGAAAAGATAATAACTCAAAAAATATGTTAAGAAATTTATCTCGAAAAGTGAAGTGTTTTGATTCAATTTTTGTACAATGAGATCTACACTTAATCTGAATTACACTAGACTTTTTTTTTAGATTAATTTTTTAAGTCGATAACATTGTTATTATATTATTAATAATAATTAAAAAAAAGATGCTTATAAGCTTAGTTGTGTGTGCAGTCTTTTGAGGATGCATGGAAGGCTACGTGCTCGGCAAGGGAAGTTTCAGGTTTTAGTCCAACCATGCACGTTCTTGATAGCTATAAGTTCTTGCTACAACCTGTAATCTTTAGTGGCCCTTGCAATTCCGAAGCCGTTAACGTCGTGGTAATTACAATTTTATATTCATAAATTTTCTCATATCATATGTCATCATTATAGGTCAAATTATTTTTTGCGTCTCAAATATTTTATTAAAATTTTTGTACAACTAAAATCATTAGTACAAATAATTTGAAATATTTACTTTAATATTGTGGGCTTATACTGGCCCAAAAATAACACGGTACAATCTTTCTTTTACCTAGAAATAAGTTATCCTATCCTACATTTCAATATTTTCATTTTTCTCTTATTTATTTTTAATATTTGTTATTGAATTGTTAAATTGATATGGTTTATTATAGATAGGTGGAAACCTAACAGCACCAAGTCATCCTTCAAAATGGAAGTGCGACAGAAGTAACTGCCAATGGATAGGATTTACTGAGATCAATGGTCTCTACATTTATGGCTCTGGTACTATTAATGCCCAGGGTACCAAATGGTGGGGTTCCTCCAATGTCAATCACACTAGAAAGGCAAGAAGCCTCCTCTCTCACTTCATTTAATTATTTTTAAAATAATTATCACTGTCACACCATTTTAATTTAAATTTGTTGTACAAAATAAGGGGTGGTTTGGCATCCTCTATATAATTCATCTTTTTTATTTTTTTTCATCACATCACCTCTCTACTTTTCTGCACATCTTTTCGTAAAAAGACAAAAAAATGCACTTATTTAGATCATCCCAAACAACCCCTAAATATTAAATCCTTTTTTTTTTTGGGCTTTACTAATATAAGTTTCTTTTCTTCTTTTCAGTACCATGGGTCAAAACCAACGGTGAGTGACACTAGATTCTTTGTTTTTAAATTATTTTGTTCCTATGTTTACATTGTAAGTACTACATAATATTTCATGTTTTTACAGGGGTTCGTAATAGCACATTCCAACCATGTGCATATAAGTGACCTAACCTTCATAAACAGCCCTCAAATGCATATGGCGTTGGAAAGGTCGACATGGGTATATGTTTATAATCTCACCATCACTGCCCCCGGCGATAGCCCAAATACTGATGGCATACACATTGAACATTCCACACACGTCTTCATAAGCCAAACTCACATTGGGACTGGTATATTATCAAACATAATAATACTATCTCTCTTAATTTTATACCGTGTGACCGAAAAAAAATTATTGTGCAAGATCTTTTGTTTTGAGATTCCTACATAATTCTACCATTGGAAGCATTTTGCAATGATCCAAAAGATTTGGAACTGAAAGTCAATGCATGGCGCTTTACATATGTATATTTTAATTTGGTTGTTTATCAAATTTTAAGTCAAAAATATTAATGCAGGTGATGATTGTATTTCCATCGGAGATGGTTCATTATATCTCAACATTAGCATGATCACATGTGGACCAGGTCATGGCATAAGGTAACAGGAAAGACCTTTTTACAGTTCCCTCTATCTTTTGTTATTGTTGTTATTATTTTGAAATTGATTTCATTTATTTTTAAATTCCTTCTTTGGTAAAAGTATTGGAAGTTTAGGTATAAAAGGGCCATATAAGACAGTAGAGAATGTCTATGTAAGCAATGTGGAATTCAGAGGAACTTCAAACGGAGCAAGAATCAAGACATGGCAGGTAATTTGTGAACACATGATTATTAGAGTTATGATATCAAGAATATAATATATGAGGCAAATTTGTAAGCTTATCACTTTAAAACAAAAAAACTCAATGCCTATTAATATCAATAATGTCATTGTTATATTATTTGATAAATAACTATTTTTCTCGTTAGTTTTGTTGTTAATTATATTGTCCCTTTGGCATGCTTAGGGAGGGAGCGGATTTGCTAGGAACATTGTGTTTGAGCATATAAGATCCATTGGTTCAGTTCAACCCATCATCATCGATCAATACTATTGTGACCACACACATTGCAAAAATCAAGTGAGCATTTCTCACTCTATGACTATGGCTCTTTTTTTACTTGGATTTTTTAGTTTTGTACTCAAAAATAGTAATTTTTTGATCTTTTCAAAATACATTAATCTAACTTAACATTGTGATTAATGTAATTAACTTTCTCAGAAATCAGCCGTGCAAATTAGCAATATCAGATACATCTATATTTACGGGACGTCGAAGGAAGATACAATGATACACTTTGCATGCAGTGAGACAGTTCCATGCAAAGATATTATGTGTGTCAATTTTCGACCACAATGCCAACTTAGTACTCAACTGGAGAACACCGGTAGAATAGGTTAAGCCCGAACGACCTGCAACAGAAAGAAGAGTTTCAGGCGGTGGCTTATCCACCTAGGGGTACTTTGACGATCAAGTCAGTACTCAATATCTCTCAAAGATAACCAATAGTGCTTAACTCACTAGACAGAATATCAAAAGCATACCTTAGACCCATGGGGGTGCCTCCCTTTTATAGCCAACACAATCCTAGTCCCAATAGGAGCCTAGCTCTAATGGACTTAGGATTACTGCTAATCTTGGACTCCCAGTAGGATTAGGATAAACTCTCTAAGAGTCTCATCTTTACCCAAACTGAAGTCTTCTCTCATTCTAGGACTCTTGTCCCTTATCCGCTTATCTCGGATTCCGGTATTCTCGCAGATAACCTCGGCCTAGCCGAGATTACCTCGGCGTCATGACCAGGACACGTGGCACCTCGGCTGGCACTTCGGTGACACCTCAGCCACGTGTTGTCATTCAAAAATTATGTCCCCACATATATATATATATATATTTATATATATATGAATGACATCTACCTTCAATCGACTCAACTGTGTAAAGAAACGACGTCGTTATGTCAAAATGTTGCTGGAAGGAAAAATGGTCCAGTTTTGCCCAGTGTCCCTTGCTTGACTGATTGATAAATTTGTACTAATTCAAAATGAGTACCATATCTACTATAGTCAATATATAGTTAAATTTATTTGGTTGATTTTCGTACCAACTCAAGGTTTTATTCGTAATAAAGGTATCTAAAGTTTGCTTTTCAGAACAAATGTGCTAGTTAATGCTTCGTTAGTCATATGATATATAGATTCACATTTAATATAGGGTGAGTTTTAATTACAATAAATTTAGTTTACGCATTTTAATTTGATCACTTTTTGAAACTATTCTTGTTTTTAAAAAGTTGTCAAGTTCCAAATAATTCCACGTATGGGGCATTTAAAAAAAAAAAATCAGTGCAATGGGACTTACTAGCTACTAAGGGTGCTCAGGGAATATTTTGAAACGTTCAAACCAACTAAATCGAACCCGAATCGATTCATCGCATTTTAGATGGATACGTGATGACAAGCAGACGATTGCAGATTGATTTTTTTTAATCAACCTAATTTTGGACGGATGACGAATTTGAGATTTTTTTGACTACAACTGAACAGCCAAACCGTAAGCACCCCTAATAATTTGTAAGACTTTGTGTTTTCAATTTATTTACATATTTTGTTTGTATTTTCAATTGAAAAAGAGTTTAGATATTCTATTGTATTTTCAATTTGTTTTCAATTTGGAATCCTTTTATCAAATGACAAGTGTTGATATTTAGTATTTTTGTGTGGAAAATATAAGGCTTATTTTCGTCATTTTTTTTAAAAATCAAATTAAATAGTTTTTGAATAAAAAAAAAAGTAATGAAATAGTTTTGATAACGCATGATTTTCTCTGTGCGGGGCGCAAATATTCAGGCAAGCCCGCACTCCTTTCTTCCAAGCTCCGTTTCTATCCGATCACCTGTGTGCACAACAGCAGTGAGCTACCCGGCGGTGTGTAGCTGGAAAACCCCTCCGACGATCAAGTTAGCACACACCTGAGGATAGGGAGAGTGAGGAGAGAGTCGAGTGTAAGTATTTCTCTTACCAAATGTTCGTCTGTCCAGCATGGGGGGCGCAGACTTGCTTATATACCTTCTGCGCCGCAAATCTACTCCCAGTGATCTCTCGACACGTGGTTCTGCTATCCTATCTGTCAGCACAAATCTTGCTGAACATCACCTAACCCGACTGCCAGCCCACTCTACTGGGAGCTCGGTAGCCGGGCTGAATCTTCTCGGCTATCAACGGCCGTGCTGTGCAGCTGGCCAAAGCGCTCCGCTCACCGTGCTCAATGAGGACCGAGCTCGTCTGCATCCCGGCGTAGCCGAGCTCGGGACAATTCATACTGGTTTTGCCGCCGGCCTTCCTGCCCGGCTAACTTATGAATCGTGGAACAACAACGCCGTTCCTGGCGCCGGACATCTCACTTGCCCGGCCTCTATACCATGCAGCCAAGTAGCTCGGTCTAGCCACGCCTTGCCTTAACCGAGCAAATCCTTTCGGGGCACGGACCGCGCTACCTCGGCCCAATCTTGTTCGGCTCAAATCTGTCCGGCCATTACCACGGCCCAATCCAGATCATATTTTTCCCTCTCAATTGCCCCTTAATTCCGTCCGCGCCAGCATGACCGAGATTACCTGTTCTGACTGGGATAAACTCTTCCTCGGTTGATAATTTGCAAGAGGAAAACTGGGCTAATTTTCGCGCTCGGTTCCTTGTCTTGCTCGGTCGATGCTTTGTCTGACCTTCCTGTCTCTTCAACTCTGAAACTGCCATTAATGGGGTCACGTGTCAATCTCCCATTGGTCCTCGAGCAGCCAACCTAGCCGTTCCCTGAAATTCGAATTTGGGCAATTTTTCTTCCTCAATAAACATGCCCCCTCCCTGTTTAATTCATTCTCACTGACATTCCTCCGTTTCAAGCGTCTTTGAGCTCTTGCCCTTTCTCTCTCACCATCCCTGAACTCGTGTTCGAAGAAGGAGCCTCTGCCTTTCACTGGTAAGTCCCCCAGCCCTTGTTATTACTGTTTTCATTTCGTATTTTTTTCTTTATAGCACCAAATCCGTAGGTTTTAGGGCCTCCCCTACCCAAAACCTTCAATGCCCCTTAGTTTCTTCGCTGTTCTTCAATTTTCCTGATGAACAATGAAGATCTGGGGCGGACCGAGCTCCAGATCTTCATCCGATCCAAAAAATCACTCAGACCGAGCAAATCTTTAGCTTGTCCCAACCTTAGGAGAAACCGGGGTAGCAAAAAGGACTTGGCCGCTCGACCGGGCTAATCTCTGGTTCGCTTGGGCGACCGAGCTCCTTGGCTAACCTTTACGACTGAGGTGGTTTGGCACAATCCATGACCGAGCTCAAGTCTAGCTCGTTTTGCGCGACCGCGCTCCTACTTATAATTACCCTCCGTTTTCCTGCAGAGTCCAAGGGGACCAAAGACCAATTCTAAGGCTCTCAAGGACCGAGCAGCCATTAATTCCTAGCCTGTGCCAAAACCACCTTAGCCGAGCTAAACTAGTCGGTCACACATGGGGAAATTCCGCTTCCTTGTGGACACACCTGCTGCCTTGGCCGTCTTCAGGGAAGAATACGATATCCCGACAGATGTCCATTTGGAGCTCGCCGAGATGGAAACAACCCCTTGGGGCAGGCTTGACCAATGCCCCTTCACCGTGCTGTCAGTAATTAAAGGAGGCCTCCGCTTCCCGGTCAACCCTTTGATGACCGAATTTCTGCGCTGCACCGGGCTAGCACCCACCCAAGTTTCGACCAATACTTACCGAATAATCAATGGCGTGCACGAGCTAAACAACCGGCTAGGAACAAACTTAGGTTTAGCTGAGATACTACGGCAATACACCCTTGGGCACACCGGCGACAGCCTGGCCTATTATTTAAAAATAAGACCGGGTAAAGAGAAAATAGTGACCGGCACCCTGGACAAGGACTTACATGATGATGACTTCTTCTGGGTGTCTGGCAATTATGAAACAGCCGATGTACCAGGCTGGTTCATCAGCAAGAACTTTGGTTCCACATGTAAGCCGCGCTAATTTGCTCGGTTAATTTCCTGCCTTTAACATTCTGTACTTAACCATTTTTCCTGTTTCTTTTGCAGCAATTCAAGCCTTGCAATCCAACTACCAATATCCCAACGTAGAAGCCATCCGGACCGTGCTCCGTTACAGCCACCGGGATTGTAACGACTCTCTCGGCTACACTCCAACCTATAGATACTCAGCTCCACACCGGAGCAAAGTTACAGACTTTCTCCGTGCTCCAACACCTCTTCTAGACCCAACTTTACCGGACGTGCTGCTAATCCGGCTGACCGAAGAATAAGAGATGGCAAAACGAAGCCGCATCAAGAACCTCCTCACAGCAACCTCAGCCGAGATACCGAGCATCACCACCCACTCTCAAGCTGCCGGATAATCCAGCGGTCCCGTGGTCGCCTTGGCATCTCCAGGCGCCGGGCAACCCAGACAAGAAGCTCGTCGGGCTGGCAAAAGGCCTCACGCAGACCCATCCGCCGAGCTAGTTGCCGAGCTAACCACCGAGCAACCCACTGTCACTGTCGACCCAACACCACCGTGGTGACCGCAGCTAAAGCACCGGGGAAAGGACATACCGGCTACCGCTTCCATCAAGGGCGACAAAGAGCACCTGCTCGCCTTTGACCTTTCCAAAGCCCTTTTCCTACCGAGCGACGTGGTCAGAAGCGACCACATTCCTGACACCCGGTTGGTGAAATCGTCTGTTAAGTCCATGGCCAGGGTAAGTATCAATCTTTCACTAAAATTTTTACGAAGTGTTTGCACGGTTTCTTCTCTTATCAGACTTTCTTCTTGCAGGCCATCCAGAAGCAACACTTGGTCATGGAGCGAATCCATCGACTGCGGCAAAAAGCGAATGACACTGTCGGCCAAGTCCAGAGTCTTCAAACCGAGCTCGGCCGAGCAAAGTCCTCACTTCAAATCGCCAATGCTGATAACAACAGGTTGCTCGGCCAGCTTGACGAAGCCGAGAAGAAGAGGGATGAGCTCTAGGCCGAACTGGATGTATTGAAGAAGTCAAGGGAAAAAGAACTTGAGGATGCCAATAACGTCGGCTTTAAGGAGGCCGAAGACGGCTACAAAAAGCAAGTCTTTGCTACCCAAGACATCTACTTTAAAGCTGGTTGGAAGTCTGCCTGTGCTCAGCTCGGTCAAGGTCCCGAGACCGACATATTTACCTCTCCGCCAGCTGCCTTCCTGCCGGTGTACCTCGTGCCCTATGCCAACGACGTCTTCAGTGCGTTGCAAGCTGAGGCTGAGGAAGAGCTTGCCAAAGAAACCGAGGTCAATGCCGAGGAGGGAAGCAGCCAAGAGTAGCCCGGAGAAATTGAGACCGGTGTCCAAGAGCAAACAACGGTCAACTTGGAGGCAGCTGATGACGAATTCACTAATCTTTCCCCCATTGTGTAGTTTTCTGTTTTCTTTCATTTTTTGCTTTGCACATGTAACCAGGCTCTCTGCCCCTCCTTTTGTACTTCTTTTTTCATTAATGAAAAAGATCTAGTTTCACCAAGTGTTTGCACGGTCCTAGAGCTGAATAACTTCAACCGGACAAAATATCTCGGCAAGACAAATTGCATTAATTAACTCATATAACCGGAATAAATCATCTCGGTAGTACACCCAGAGTTGAGCAAAACTTCAAGTCTTTTAACCGGAATAAACATCTCGGTGCAAAATACCTAAGTTGAACAAAACATCAACTTTTCAACTGGACTAACCATCTCGGTTGAGAGTGCATAAGTTGAGCAAAATATCAACTCTTTCAACCGGAGTAAACATCTCAATTGAGAATACCTAAGTTGAACAAAACATCAACTCTTTCAACTGGAGTAAACATCTCGGTTGAAAGTACCTAAGTTGAACAAAACATCAACTCCTTCAACTGGAATAAACATCTCAGTTGAGAGTGCCTAAGTTGAACAAAACATCAACTCTTTCAACCGAAGTAAACATCTCGGTTGAGAATACCTAAGTTGAACAAAACATCAATTCTTTTAACCGGAGTAAACATCTCGGTTGTGAATACGCAAAACTCAAAGCAACAAAAAATGTTAAGGCAAAGATGAGTCACTTCTATATATTGACAAAAATGAATATTATATGAAGTATAAGGCAAAAAGTTCCTTTGCACAAAAAAGAGAGCAAAAGCTAGAAATAATACAACTTGAGGTTGGCTGCATTCCATGGCCGGGGTATTCTTCTACCATCCAAGTCCTCCAAGTGAAATGCCCCCTTGCCCGCCAGACCGGTTATCTTGTAGGGTCCTTCCCAATTTGCCCCTAGTTTGCCTTCGCTTGGCACCAGGGTATTGCCCATGACCTTCCGCAAGACCCAATCACCCACTTTGAACGGTCTGGGGTGCACGGTTTTGTTGTATTTCCTTGAAAGCTCTTGTTGGTAGGCGGCCACATGGATAAGAGCCTTTTCCCAGCGTTCTTCCACTAGGTCCAATTCCAAGGCAATGGCTTCGGCGTTCAGCTCGGGCTCAAAACTTTCACCTCTGAGGGTGGGCATACCAACTTCCAACGGGATGACCGCCTCCATGCCATATGCCAAAGCAAAAGGAGTTTTCCAGGTAGATCGCCGCGGGGTTATTCGGTATGCCCAAAGGACATTGGGGAGTTCCTCAGCCCACTTTCCTTTGGCTTTCTTAAGCCTCTTCTTCAGTCCATCAAGAATGGTCTTGTTCAAAGACTCGGCTTGACCGTTGGACTGCGGGTAAGCCGGAGTAGAGTTGTAGAATTCAATCTTCAAATCTTCACAGAACCCCCTAAACAGGCGGCCATCAAATTGGGTGCCGTTATCAGAGATCAGAATTTTGGGGACGCCAAACCGCGTGACCATATTCTGCCAGACAAACCGCTTCACGTCTTTCTCCTTGATTGATGCCAAAGGCTCCGCTTCAACCCATTTGGTGAAGTAGTCTGTGGCCGCGATGAAGAACTTCCGGTTGCCTGGTGCGGTTGGTAGCGGCCCCACTATATCTAGCCCCCACATCACGAAGGGCCAAGGGCTGGTGAGGGGAAGAAGTTCCCTGGCCGGCTGGTGGATCTGGTGGGCAAACTTCTGGCATTTCTCACACTTGCGAACATATTTCTGGGCGTTGGCTTGCATGCACGGCCAACAATAGCCTTGCGAAATAGCTCGGTAAGCCAAGGACCTGCCCCCTATATGACTGCCACAGATGCCTTCGTGAATTTCGTAAAGGAAGGCTTCCACGCTGCTCAGGTGCACACACTTCAGGTAGGGACCGGTGAAAGACTTCTTGTATAAAGTGCCTGATGGAGAGAGCCAAAACCGCTTGGACTTCACCCGCACTTTATGCGCTTCCTTCTTGTCGGCTGGAAGGGTCCGTTCTCTGAGAAAGAGGATTATAGGGTCCATCCAAGAAGGACCTAGCTCGGCGTAGAGTACTTCTGTCTGCCCGGCTTCCTCAATGCTGGGCCGCGAAAGGAATTCAATCAAAAGAGGGTTGGGAGATGTGCTGTCGACCATAGAAGCTAGGCCGGCCAACTCATCTGCTCGGCTGTTTTCGTCTCGGCCGCCTAAAATCGCTTGATGTGGTCTCTGACCAGAGCTTGGTACTTCATCATTCTGTCATCCTTTGCCTCATAAACCCCAGAAACTTGGTTAACCACAAGTTGGGAATCACTGTAAACCATTAGCTCGGATGCTTGCATCTGAAGCGCGCTCTTGAGACCGGCCAATAACGCCTCGTACTCAGCCTCATTGTTGGATGCTGGGAAGCCAAGGATGATAGAATGTTCAATAGTCAGTCCGTCTGGCAAAATCAAAACTATACCCAGCTCGGCACCGTGACGGTTCGAGGCTCCATCAACAAAAAGTTTCCACATTTCGCCGACAAAGAGCTTCCAACACTCTGAAAGGTCCTGAGAAGCTTGAAGGTTGATGGGATCACGGTTGCTCGGCTGTTCGGCTTCCAGTCCCGTGTTGAGCGGTTCCACTTCAGCCCCCCTTGGTGATTCGGCGCCGGACTCAACAAGTTGATCCACAATGCCTAAGTCCGTAGGCGAATCGCCAGGTTGCGGTATTATGCCGGCCGCAGGCTCTGTGCTGAGTGGTTCCATTTTTTTCCTCCTCGGTGATGTGGTGTCGGAAAAAGCGGGTTGGTCAGTGATAGCCAACTCCGTCATCGCATCACCGGGCTGTAGTATCGTATTAACTGAAGGGGCTTCGGCGGGGCGCGCAAGTTCTGTGTCGCCAATACCGCCAAGCTATGGTATTTCGGCCGAGCTTGCATTCACCTCTTCATCTGCCACGACAATATCGACCGGGCAGACCGGATGAGTTCCAAGTGAGAATTCAGCAACGAAGTCGGCCAGAGTCTGTGCTTTTATGGCTGTGCGCGGCTGGAACTTCAAATCAAACTGTCCCAATTCGACCGCCCACTTAAGAATCTGACCGGAGAAGTCTACCCGTTCGAACAAAGCTTTGAGAGGGAACTCGGTCAAGACGATGATGGTATAGGCATGAAAATAGTGTGCCAACTTCCTTGAAGCCATCATCAAGGCTAATGCAAGTTTTTCCAGCGGCAAGTACCTCGACTCTGGCGGTAGCAAGGTTTTGCTGATGTAGAAGATGGGTAGATGTTTGAGTCCTTCCAACCAGACAAGCACTGAACTGACTGCATGCTGCGAGATGGCCAGATAAAGGTAAAGTTCTTCTCCGGGCTCCGGTGTAACCAACAACGGTGCTGAAGACAAATACTCCTTGAGCTTGGCCAAAGCTCGGTCACACTCTTCATCTCATGAGAACTTTGATTTCAGGGCTTGAAAAAAAAGGCGGCAGCGATCGGATGACCGACTTATAAATCGGTTAAGCGCGGCGGCCATTCCGGCCAGATGCTGTACATCCTCAGCCGAGCTGGGCTACTTTAACTCTTGCACGGCTCGGATTTGTGTAGGGTCTGCTTCGATACCTCGGTTCGTGACTAGGAAACCCAAAAATTTTCTGGATCCCACACCGAAGGCACACTTAGACGTATTCAGGCGTAGCTGGTGCTTTTTGAGAATGGCGAACATTTCGGCCACATCAGACAAATGGTCTGCTTGATGCCGGCTCTTAACCACCATATCATCAATATAAGCCTCCATTGTCCGGCCTAGCAGAGGAGCAAACATCTTGGTCATCATCCTTTGAAAGGTTGCCCCGGCGTTCTTCAAACCAAAAGGCATGACTCGGTAGCAGAAGAGTTCCCCTGGTGTAGTAAATGAGGTGATCTCTCGGTCGGGCCCATGCATGGCAATCTGATGGTAGCCGTGGTAAGCGTCCAAGAAACTGAGCTTGTTATGTCCAGCCGTTAAGTCCACAAGCTAGTCTATTCTAGGCAGAGGGAAGCTGTCTTTCGGACAAGCTTGGTTGATGGTCTTGTAGTCAACGCAAACTCGCCACTTCCCATTCTTCTTGGGCACCACGACCGTGCTTAAAATCCACCGAGGGTAGTGCACTTCCTGAATTGCTTGCGCCTCAAGCAAGTTCTTCACTTCCTCGGCAACTACCTCGGTAACTACCTCAGCGTGATGTAGCGCCGATCTCCTTGTGCGCTGAATGACCGGCTTTGCTCCGGGAAAGACATTGAGATGATGGCATATAAAACTCGGATCGAGACCGGGCATGTCGTAAGGTGACCACGCGAAGACTTCGATGTTGGCCATCAAAAATTCAACCATGTCGGTCCTTTCTTGGGCTGTAAGGCTTGAGCCGAGCAAGAAGAACTTGTCCGGATGCTCCGTATCAATGCGTACTTCCACCAATTCCTCGACAGCTTTGTCCTCGGCCTTGGTGCCCACATCGTCAAGGACTCCCCGGTCTTCCGGTCCCTCAATCATTTGAACGAAGCCTTTGGCAGCTCGGCTCCCGTTGACCGCCACAAAGCATTACTTCAACATGACTTGATCGCCCCAAACCTCCTCGATTGCCCCTATAACCGAGGGAAATCTCACCACCTGGTGGTAGGTTGACGCTACGGC